TATTCTTCTTAAATTCTCAGGACGTCTTGGGTCAAATTCTCATCAACATATATGAAAGAGAAAAAAAAAACATACAGAGGGGACCAATGGTGCAGTAACGTAAAGGAGTATGGCTACAGACAACACTGAGATTAAGAAAATTAACAGACTTAATCTCAGTGTTGTCTGTAGCCATACTCCTTTACGTTACTGCACCATTGGTCCCCTCTGTATGTTTTTTTTTTTTCATATATGTTGATGAGAATTTGACCCAAGACGTACTGAGAATTTAAGAATATACCTGTGAATTAGAGACTCTTAATTTGCCTGTTTCACCAGGTATTACCCACCTTTCTTTCCACTGGGCACCAGGTATTACCCACCATTCTTTCCACTGGGCACCAGGTATTACCCACCATTCTTTCCACTGGGCACCAGGTATTACCCACCATTCTTTCCGCTGGGCACCAGGTATTACCCACCATTCTTTCCGCTGGGCACCAGGTATTACCCACCATTCTTTCCGCTGGGCACCAGGTATTACCCACCATTCTTTCCGCTGGGCACCAGGTATTACCCACCATTCTTTCCGCTGGGCACCAGGTATTACCCTCCATTCTTTCCGCTGGGCACCAGGTATTACCCTCCATTCTTTCCGCTGGGCACCAGGTATTACCCACCATTCTTTCCGCTGGGCACCAGGTATTACCCACCATTCTTTCCGCTGGGCACCAGGTATTACCCACCATTCTTTCCGCTGGGCACCAGGTATTACCCTCCATTCTTTCCTCTGGGCACCAGGTATTACCCACCTTACTTGCTGCTCAGCACTGGGAATTACCCACCCAGTCACCTGGTGTTACCCACCTTTCTTACCGCTGGGCACTGGGTATGGCTCCACTCTCTCCCTGAAGCATAACAAAAAACCTTTGTTCTCCTCTTTATATCTAATTAACAGCATGACGTGACTTTAATTCCTTTACATAATCTGTTATAAGGCAGTGCCATCTAATCTAAGACTGTGAAACTATAGCAAAGTGTTGGTTATAGACCCACTGCTTTCACAAATTCATTTTCAAGTCTACTACATGTGTCATTTTGCTGTTCTGTGAAAAATAAAACAATATTTTTTACTTTCAGATTATTGCATTTGATGAATTGAAAACAGACTACAAGAACCCTATAGACCAATGTAACACGCTTAACCCTGTAAGTTCTAATTTGTATTTTATGTTCCTGACTATGTTGCCCACGGTTATGTAAAAAATGCTTTGCTGTT